AACAGCAGTAAACGAAATTGAGAAAGGCAAGAGGGTCCCCAGCATTTAAATTCTTAACTGAGTTTCCTTATTTATATCATAATTAATCTCCATTTTCTTAGGTTAGCTTATAAAATAACTTCTTAAGGTTTGGTAAGTTCACCACAGTGTTCTCCTTTTGGTCCCTCTACAGCACTGTCATTTGTAAGAGTCTGCTTAGCGCTCTGGGGGAGATAATATACCATGGCGTTGAGGCCCTTGCTTAGGGAAGAAGAGATGGTAAAAGATAAAGGACACAGGCCTCACCTCTGTCAACTGAGAAGTCTTTTTTTTTTTTTTTTTTTTAACGATTTTATTTATTTATTTATTTGACAGAGACACAGCAAGAGAGGGAACACAAGCAGAGGGGGCATAGGAGAGGGAAAAGCAGGGCCCCCGCTGAAAAGGGAGCCCGTTACAGGGACGGAGCCCAGGACACTGGGGTCATGACCTGAGTCGAAGGCAGATGCCCAACAACTGAGCCACCGAGATGCTCCCATCAACCGGAAAGTCTTAATTGACGAGCTGGACCTCAGCGCTATCTGAGCAGAGACCAGTGGGCCCCACGCCCCTCCTTCAGTGTGTGCTCCTCTGCCCCCTCCCTGGTCTAATCTCCCCCACCTCGCCACTCTTCGGCATTGCCTGACTTAGGCTCTGGCTCAGCAAGAGTGTTCTGGTACCTTTTGGGGAGGTAAAATTTGCCTCCAGTTCTTGTTACCGCTGACTAGCATACTTGGGAAGTAGGACCTCAACTGTGAGTCAGGTTTGAGGGTCCCTGCTGTAGTGCCAGGTTATTGAAGCTAAGTTTAGGAAGGTAGAACCTGTTAAAAGGTTCAGAGGAAAGTCTAGATTTAGAACAGACCCCAGGCAGGCAGTCATACACAAATCAGTGTGGGGTGTCACGGGACACCACAAGTTATCTCAGCATTATTGGATAGAACCGTTATTCCCGTAAGTCAGCTTTCTGAATTTCTGAAATAGATCATTTTTGGATGTCAGGAGAAAAAACAATACTGGAAATATTTTCTGAATTGGATTGCATTTGACCCTGCCACATTAAACATGTTAAATAAAATTTTGTCTTTTCTTCATGACTTAATTAAAAGGAATATCCGTTATTATTTGGCCTATAATATAATAGACTGCTGCACATGCTCATTAAGGTTTTGTCTGCTTTTCTTGGTGTTTCCGTTTCTGTTAGTAGTGGTGTACTCACCATCCCATCCTCATGCCATCGGGGCTCCTGCTTTTAACATGTTGCTTCTGATCTGAGCTTATTAGAATTATCTAAAATGTCAGGAAAGAGTCTGACTAAAGATGTCAGAAAACAACCTAGAGGATTTTTTCATACTTGCCTTTGGAGACACAGCCCCCTTCCACATATTGAGGTGTGATAAGCAGGTCCATCAGCAAGACCGTGTCAGGGCATTGCCCCTCCGCATACTGACCTTCCAACTGGAGCGATGGAGAGTGAACCACAGTGAAGGTTTTCTTTCCTTTAGGGCATTCCCATTTCATCAACTAAGTTGGTGTAAAAATTGGATTTTGCAGTCTGTGGGAATGAATGGTTAATAGGCTGGACATGGGTGAACTTGAGCAAAGAGTGGTAACAAGAAGATAGCAAATTGAGTGATTATTTTAGGCAATCTGTGATCTGTCTTCATTCTTCACAAAGGTCATAATATTCCTCAACTGGAAAATAATCAGCATCTGGATGTGATTGATAAAATATGCATCTGTAAACTTTACTGTGGATCCACTAATAGAAAAATGATTACAACACAAGATTGTGTGGGTTTATTCACAAGCAAATTGGGTATTTAGGCAGAGAATGTCATTTATACAGCTGGTCACTCTCCCTGTGTACTTGTATCTGCATGAAGAACTGGTTCAGAAATTATGGCAAAGAAGAAAATCACCATAAATAAAATCCAGTGGTCACGTATGAACAATAACATTCAATCATTTTTGTTCAGAAATGTTCTAGATTGGCTGACGCGGGATTCAGGCCAACACATGGCCTCGGATATTGTTGTATCATACTGAACCATTGTGCCATTCCAGAATTAAATTCTGATTTAGCAGTTTTAAGGAAGAGCACAAAGCTTACCATGTGATTGTCTTAGTGGCTTCCAACCTTATTGTAGAGACAGCGCCTCAACGAGGAGGCATAAAATGTGCTATGATGCAAAGAATCATAGAGAATATGCCAGAGGCTCTATCATGTGGTCATTCATTCAGTCAGCATCGTTTACAGTGCTTCCATCCTTCTCGCTGCTTACCCTCTTGCTCTATAATCATCTCTTCGTGTCTGTCTTCCTGTTAGACTGTCAGTTTCTCGAGGTTTTACTCATATTTGTATTTCCAGGAAGTTAGGGCGGTGCCCAGTACATAAGAATCACTCAAAACCCGTTTGTTTAGGGGCACCTGGGTGGCTCAGTGGGTTAAGCCTCTGCCTTCGGCTCAGGTCATTATCTCAGGGTCCTTGAGTCCTGGGATCAAGCCCCGCATTGGGCTCTCTGCTCAGCAGGGCGCCTGCTACACCCCCACCTCTGCCTGCCTCTCTGCCTACTTGTGATCTCTATCCTTCTCTCTCTCTCTGTCAAATAAATAAATAAAATCTTTAAAAAAAAAAAAACTGTTTAGCAGATCAGTGGTTAAGAATGAGTGTTGGCAGTGTTATTTTCTTGAAGAATGGACTTTTCCTTAAAGCTAAATCAAGTTATTTCCACACACACATTAAACTTGAGCTTTTCTCATAAGCAGTTTGCTCTTTCTAGAGCCATCATTGAGTAAACTGGGTTAGATTTCCATTCATGAGAAAGGTGTCAAGGAAGGATTCCATTCACATTCATTAAGCTGATGCTGCTAAAGGACCATTGTTCAGTGTTGGCGGAACACATGCTTTGATCATCAGCTTTCCACCGTCTGGAGGACAGCTCTTTTAACAGAACCCACATTGTAAGACACAGTTGACATTATTTGGGTTTGTCACTTACAACTGGGGAAGGCATTGACTTCCTGTATAACTGATCTTCAAAATGGCATTCTGAGAAATATTTATAATGTTATAAAATTTAAATTGCCTTAAGGAATTGGTATATGGATGCAAATCAGTTCATTCATGGTTAAACGGAGTTTTAGAAAAATTGCACAGTAGACTTGAGCTCTTTAACAGTTGGTACAGGGAAACACATTCATTTTAAAGTGCTGTCTACTACAAATTCAATAGAGTCGAATTAGCTTGTCTTTTAATGCAAGAATGTAAGGAACACTCCAGGAGGTCATACAACTAGGGCATTTAATTCAGATTCTGTGTCGGGCATTAGTGTGCTGGAATCCACTGCAAAGCGGGTTGGTTCGCTGTAGGACATAACTCCAAAGACGGGCATGCTTTCATGAGCACCCACAGCAGTGGCTTGGTCTGGTTATCAGCCACAAATAACCAAACGTCTTCTTTCCTATATCAAAGTCAGAGAACCATTAAAAATGCTTTAGAAGGTTAACATTTGGGAAAAGGGAGTCAAAATCATGTACTATCTCGATAATAATAGTAATGAAAATAATGTAAGCCTATTAGAATTCTGGTGCATTTCCTTTTGGGTGTTTTTCTTATGCATGGCCTTTTGTGGTTTTTTAATATCATAGGGCATGTATAATTAGGTGCCCTCCTTTATTTTCCTCTCAATAGCAGAAGCAGTTTCCATGTGGCTCCTAATCATCATATCCAAACTCTCTAAAAGCCTATTATTACATTCAGCCTATCCAACCTTTTAGGTTAATCACTTCCATAGATTTATTAGTTACTATATAAAGAAATACGTTCAACAAAGCAGTCTTTATTTGTTCAGAATTTAACATGTTCACTCATTGCTGTATTTCATACTGTTTTCATGAACTTTGATTAAAAACAACAAACATTTATTGAGCAGTGGCATAGGGTAATCTGATTTACTCCTTATAACAACCCTTTGTACCGAGATACTGTTACTACTAATCTCCATTCAACAGATAAATAGAAAACTGAGATCACACAGCCAGGAAGTGGTATGGCTTGGTTTTCAATCCTTTCTGCCATGGCTTCTGATACCTCTGATGATGGGCCTCTGAACTTTTGCTTTCTAGATTTGAGATTGAATGTTTGAGTCCATACTCATAGGGTAATCTTTTTGTCTCTATGGCTAATTTAGTTTCTAGGCTCTGTCCATTTGCTTTTCTCCAGTCATAGCATGAAAATGACAAACAGCATTCCTGGTACAGGTACTTCATCATTTAGTAAGAGTGGAATGCTTTTTGTTTTAATTTTTAGTATCCATAGTAGTAAGTTATAATTGTAAGTTATAACTGGACATGTGGCATTATAGAAGGACATCAGAGTGGACTCTCAAGCTTTTTTCCTGGATCTGAACTATGTCTGCATGTCTGATAGCCTGAATTCCTTAAGTCATTAGAATTACAGTAGTCCTATAATAGGGAACTAGAAAGCATATCTCATTCACTTTTGTCTGTTAATTTATTTTTCAGGTCACGGAACAAAAAACCAAAGGTAAGATTTTTTTTTCTTCTTTTTTCAGTCATTGGAACCTTCTGTGTTTAGATTTTTACACCCTTGCTGACTCAGCCTCCAATCTACTTGGTTAGTGAGAGTGGGTGCAAGGTAATTAAGTTGGTTGTTTACAACCACTGAAGAGCAGTAATGACAAATTAAAAGTACTTGTAGTAGTGTTTCTAGTTGGCCTTAAAGTTTTTAGAAGGCAAAGGAGATTAGAAGAAGTAATACCTTGTTTTGAAAGTATATGGGTCATGATTTTGAACTGAACCTTTTCAAAAGAGTAAGAAAAAGAAAACTCTAGCCGCTCATTTATAGATGAGAACTGTAGAGGATTGCTAAACATCTTGATGCATACCATGCATTGTGTCTGAAAGGGCGTGTTCAGTGTCTGGGATGGTCAGGTGGTCCTCTGAGCTAGAGCCCGGAATGTGCTTTTTCAAAAAATAGTACACTTTAACTCTGTTACAGACTAGTGATGTGTCGTAAACAGAAGCAGATGTTCTTCAGGCCATCCCCAACCTAATGGTCTGTGTGCTTTCAGATCTCTCTCTCTTCTGTTAATTTGGATTATGCAGTCTTGTGCATAATCTGGTGCAGGTTGGATTATGCAGTCTGATGATGGCTGCACTTTTGGTTGGTTCCCCTGCAGAATGGTAGACCTCATTCCTTGAGACCAGTGTTCTGGCTCCTGTCCTTGCCCACTTAAGTATGTGGTTCTCAGCTAGGATATGCATTGACATCATTTGCATAGACTTGCCAAATACACAAGTATGGACCTCCTCCTAAACCTTCATGGTCTCAGGCCACAGACCTAGCAGATGTATTTTGAGAAGCTCTATAGGTGACCCCAGTACATGCCCCAGGTTGAAAGCCACTGCCTTGGATGGAAGGAATCACATTAGGACTGTGATAACTTGGAAGAAGGTCCGGGTATGGATAGGCCATGATGTGGTCGGAAGGTATGGATAGGCCAAGGTGGAATGGGGGGCCCCTTTATGTTTTTTTTTTTTTTTTTTTTTTTTTTTTTTTTGGTTTTGTTTTCTTTTGTTGACTGCTAGGCCAAAGCATGTCCAATAGTGATGGAAAACTAATAAAGATGGTGCTAGTTTTTTTGTTTTTGTTTTTGGGGGGTTTTTTTTAGATTTTTATTTATTTATTTGACAGAGAGAGAGATCACAAGTAGGCAGAGAGGCAGGCAGAGAGAGAGGAGGAAGCAGGCTCCCTGCCGAGCAGAGAGCCCGATGCGGGGCTCGATCCCAGAACCCTGGGATCATGACCTGAGCCGAAGGCAGAGGCTTCAACCCACTGAGCCACCCAGGCGCCCCAAGACGGTGCTAGTTTTTAAGGAAACTTAGTTCTGGAAAACAAATTCTCAGATGACTAGACATTACTGTAATGTATTTCTAATCAAAATGCATTTAAAGGGAGAATGTAGTCTGGGGCCTTGTAGTGATTTATAAAATAAACTGGTAAGAACATTTAGTGGTTATAATTGTCTTAATTTGTTAGAATAGTGTTTTCCTCTTGTACTTTTAGCCAGTACCAACACAGTAGTGGGCTTTATTTGGAAGTATCTTTATAAATTATATGTTTGAAATAGAAATTATACTTTACCATAAAAATAGAGTTATTGAGAGTAGTACAGAGTCCATATTTTCTAAACCAACATACTATCTAGGAAAGGATTTGGGCACATAGTATTTATGTTTATAGGACTTTCTGATGATTATCAAGACAACAGTTGAGAGTATTGGCATTTTCCTGGAAAATCCAGGCTCTGTGGTTGTTGAAACATGGTGGTTAGGTTCCTGGGCTTGGCCACAACTCTGATGTTCATGACGCCAAGTACTAACTGAGCTATGGAAACAAGCTGCTCTGTATGGTAAGTGGTATTTCTATTGGAAAATCGAAAATCCATTAAGGCATTCTTGGATTTTTTGTGTATGTGCTGGGTCTGTTCTCAGAAACACATTCCTCTTCCCTCTGCCAAAATCTTAAAAATCAAACTTCCTTTCCTACTTACTATTGAATTTTCTTTCCAATTAGGATTTTTCTCTCACCTGCCATAAAATGGATTATAGCCTCACAGTTTCCATACTCTTTCTACCCCATCCCCTATCAGAAGTTGATCCCTAAGTGAGCTGAAAGCCAGTTTCAGATCTCCTAAGGAATTTATTTAGTAGAACCAGGGAGAAAATAGAAGTAAAAATAAAAATTATCTCTGGGGTATGTTAGCGCATAAGTAGAGGGAGAAGAAAAATGAGAATTCTGGAGAGAATACAACAGGAGTTCAACTGGAGGTTATATGAAGACAGGGCCTAGCACTGGGCCTGATCTTTCTGGGTTTTTGCCCCACTTTACAGCCACATTTTTATCTTTGTTCCCAAAAGCCTGTCTGGACACTCCAAATCCTTTCTTCTCTTCCCTCAGCTGATGTTTCTGGGTCCTATTCCTCTTCCCAAAGATGGTGCCTTTCTTAGGCAGTCTCCCCATAACTGAATCTGCCCCTCTTTTCCCAAGAGACCCTATGAGAAAAAAGACTGTTGGTGCCAAGTCTCTGGTTGTACAGAGGACTGAAGTAAGATTTGTCCATATTTCAGAAAAAAAAATAGATTCATTATATGTTCTGTCTTTATCTTCCATTATTTTATAAAAAGAAAATTCTGGAGAATAGAATTAAGATTTCAAGTGGGGGTTATGTGAAGACATGGCCTAGAGGAGGGCCTTGCTGTCCAGTAGCAGACAATACGAAGCACTTAAAGTAGAAGCTGATGTCCCACTTTGTTGGATATTGGAATTAGAATCGAAAGGGTCTGTGGGATTGATGTAATAGACCAGATATAACAGGGATGAAAAGGTAAGGTTAGGACTAAAAGGGGCGCCTGGGTGGCTAGTCAGTTAAGCATCTGACTCCTGATCTCAGCTCAGGTCTGAATCTCAGGGTCATTACTTCAAACCCTGCATTGGGCTCCATACTGGGCCTGGAGCCTACTTAAAAAAAGATCAGGACTAGAAAGACTGTGCAATGGAGGAGTTTGGACATAGCAATTTTTCCTTGTTAAAAAGATGTTAGGGAAGGGACGCCTGGGTGGCTCAGTTGGTTGGACGACTGCCTTCGGCTCAGATCATGATCCTGGAGTCCCGGGATCGAGTCCCGCATCGGGCTCCCGGCTCCGCGGGGAGTCTGCTTCTCTCTCTGACCTTCTCCTCACTCATGCTCTCTCTCACGGTCTCTCTCTCAAATAAATAAATAAAAATCTTAAAAAAAAAAAAAAAAGATGTTAGGGTCATGGTTGGCTTAATGGTATAGTTATCAGTATGAAATGATTGATTTATAAAAACTAACATGACCTGGGGCATCTGGGTGGCTTAGTCGGTTAAGCCTCTGTCTCTTGGCTTGACTTAGGTCGTGGTCTTAGGATCGTGAGACCCAGTCCCATATCCCGCTCCGTGCTCAGCGCAGTCTTCGCGAGATTCTCTCTCTCCCTCTTCCTCTGCTCCTGCCCCGGCTTGTGTGTGTGTGCGCTCCAGCTCCCTCTAAAATAAATAAAATCTTGAAGAAAAGATGACTGACATGACCTTAAGTGCTGTTCGTAGAAATACAGTATCTAGGAAGGGATTTGCAATTCCTGTAACAGGCACCACACTGTGTAAAGAGACAGAAATCAACTTGTTTGGAGCCTGTGGGGTTTGGGCCAGATTGGTCAACGATTTGAGCCTGTGTCGCCTTGGGAAGGGTTATACACATGGAGATGCTTAACCCTCAGTGGAAGGCTTCCCGCCTGAGGAAGCTCAGGTAACGGTCTTCAGAGATTTGAAGGGTCCTGGTGCCTGACACTTAATAGTCTCTTGGTAAATGTCTGTCAGGTGTTTTGTTCAGTGCAACCTATTCTTACAGCCAAGTACTGATGGTGAGAGTCAAAGCAACAGGGAAAAGCTTCCAGCTCAATATAAGTTGAAATTTTTAGATACTGTCCTGCACAGCAGCAGGTCATGACCTTTACCCCACCTTGAACACAGCTGAGGGACAGCAGCTTCCCATCCGCATACTTGGGGTGACGGACCATTGTGGTACACTGGCCACAAGTCTCTCTTCTGAGTCTACCCCAGAAGGTATATTTAGTAAATGTGTGTTGGTGGTTAGGATAACCTTAAGTCTACTCTCATTTATTAAGACTTGAGCTGGGTTCCCCCCAGGTAGCTAATTTACAAACTAAGCTAATTGCAGTATGCGTCACGCCTGGTAGAAACACCTGTGTATTCTCACACGGGTGGGAGTGTTTGTTCAGAGATGGAATTGACTGCCTCTGGAGAGTGAGTGAATGCTGGTATGTGACGTATGGTTCAGCTGGTGGGCATAGAATAGTCCAGGGAGCAGGCAGTGAGGACTTGAACCTGGTTAGGAACAGTGGTGGAGAAGGAAAGAAGGCATCAGAGAGATGCTTTGGTTCATTGGAATGTAATGATGATCAGATAATGATGTGTGGGGAAGAACAAAGTCTAGGACACCTTCCAGGTTTCCTACTTGAGCAGATGGTTAGGTGATGACTGTATTCCTTGAGCTAAGAAATAATGGGGCGCTGGGGAACAAGTTGGAGGGCTAAAAGGAAGAAGGGTAAAAGAGATCTGAGTTGGACATAGTGATTTGGGAAACACTTGGACATAAATGTTAAAGTCCAAGTATGGGGAAACTTGTACTCAAGTAACTTAAATGTGGGAAGAGTTTAGACCTCATATTCATGTTCAGGTTTTTGGGGTTTTTTTTTTTTTTTAAGACACAACTCATGGGGACCTGGGTGACTCAGCCATTTAAGTGTCTACCTTGGGCTCAGGTCATGATCCCAGGACGCTGGGATCAAGCCTGCATCAGACTCCCTGCTCAGCAGGAAATCTGCTTCTCCCTCTGCCCACCACTCTCCCTGCTTGTGTGCGTGCTCTCCCTGCCCCCCTCTCTTTGTCGAATAAATAAATATCTTAACAACAACGACAATTGGGAAGACTCCTCCCAGCCCTTGCCAACTTCTTGTTTATTCTCATAATAAGAGGAGAGGGGATTGGGAACACCATCTGCTAGGAGAATCTCATCTGCTATGAGAATCTTACAGGCACAGATAGAAAATGAATCACTGAATAATTCATCTTCATTCATTTATCAGTTATTTTTATCTGTTGGCTGTTAGAGGTCATGCAGAACCTACTATATTGATAATATCTGGCAACGACCAACTTATTTTCTCAAGAAATAGCTTTATTCTGTTCATAGGTTATGGATTCTCTGACCTCTCTTCCTTATTGGGAGGCCCAGGACTGCCTCATGATTGGCTAAGATTAGACCAGGGGTTGCCTTGAAGTGACTTCAGGCTCCTATTTGTTTTCGTTACTCACAGTGCTCCCCAGTGTACAGTGGGAGTAGATTGGGTCCCCTGACTTCTGATGATATCTGTCTCTCCATAAAGGAGCCAGTCCAATGAGCAGCATGCTGGCCCAGCATCCTTTCAGCAGTCGGAGCAGTATGGCCACCAGACCTGGCCCAAACATGCCTCTGGAGGTCAGGGATTTGGGCCTCAGAATCATCTGACTTATCGGGCTCAGTGGTTGTTTCTGTAACATTGCCAGCCTCTGTTTGCCAGGTAGATTTTCTTGGAAGGAGGGGGGAGTCTGTTGGTAGCATGAAGCAAAAGAGGTGCCGAAGAACATTCTCTGTAGGGTTGAGGGGAAAACCAAAAGGGATATTTTTAGTCACCTTGCACGTTCCAGACTTCCTGTTTGCCATTTTTAAAACGAAGATAAAACATTAAATTCTTTTTTTTTTAAAGACTTTATTTATTTGTTTGACACAGAGAGACAGCAAGAGAGACAAGCAGGGGGAGTGGGAGAGGGAGAAGCAGGCTTCCCGCTGAGCAGGGAGCCCGATGCGGGGCTCGATCCCAGGACCCTGGGATCATGACTTGAGCTGAAGGTAGACACTCAACAACTGAGCCACCCGGGCGCCCCAAACATTAAATTCTTCAAAATAAGTAGGAAAGATACCTACGTTTTGGAATTTTTATTTAATTTTATTTGAAATTTTTATTTTATTTTACTTTTTTTTTCTTTTTTGGAGCGGGAAAGAGAGAAAGGAGGGGACAGAGCGGGAGAGAGAGAGTACTCTTGGGCAGTCCCATTGCCAAGCCCAGGGAGGGGCTTGATCTCACAACCCTAATAAGATGATGACCTGACGGGATGCCTGGGTGGCTCAGTTGGTTGGACGACTGCCTTTGGCTCAGGTCATGATCCCGAAGTCCCGGGATCGAGTCCTGCATCGGGCTCCCAGCTCCATGGGGAGTCCGTTTCTCCCTCTGACCTTCTCCTCGCTCATGCTCTCTCTCACTGCCTCTCTCTCAAATAAATAAATAAAATCTTTTAAAAAAAAAAAAAAAAAAGATGACCTGAACCGAAATCAGGAGTCGGCTGCTTAACCGACTAAGCCACCCAGGTGCCCCTGAAATTTTTATTGTAAATAAAGAGTTGGAATAAACATACAAGATCTCCTTAAAAAATTTTTTTTGACACCAGCAAAAAAGTTTATAATGTTTCTAATTATTTACAGAGTGCGAAACAAGAGTGTTCGAGTTCAGGTAGCTGTAGAAACCGAAATCCATTGATTTTGTGACTCTCCAGGTCTGAGGTTTCCTGTGGGGATCTACTCTGTGCTAGGCCCTAAGAGAAAAGATGAAAGGAGGGTCCTCATTCTTGAGGGATTCCTGGCCTGGTGAGGGTGAGGAGCTCGTGAATGAGAATTTCAATATAATGTGATAAATTCATGGTGAAGAAAAATGGACAGCGTGTTCCAGGAGCACAAACAAAGGTGTTTTGCCCATCTAGTCCAGGGACTTCAAGAAAAGTTTCTCCGAGGTAGGTCTTCAAGAAGGTGGATAAAGGGCAAGGGCATTCTGGTTGAGCGCCTTGAACCTTTCCCAGCGGCTTTGCCTGGTGCCCGTATGTACCCTCAGACTTGCTGGGCAGCCCTTCAGGGATTTAGGGAAGCAGACGGTGATTGCTTCTCACCCCCCACCAATGGATGGAATGGAGTTCTATGGCATCGCTGTCTTTGGGCCCCTGTCACCATCCCTCCCCACGTCTGCCGTCCCTCTAGTAAACGGAAGATGCAGGGAAGTTTAGAAGGACCACGTCCATCCACAGTAGGATGGAAGAAGGGTTGTCCTGTGGGAATTGGTCTCATGTAAGCTTTCTTAAAAACAATCTTTAGAAAAAGGTATTTGGTTTCAAAGACCGTTTCCCAATCTCTCTCTTTCAGTGCCCGAAGTGACGAAACCAAGTTTAAGCCAACCAACGGCCGCCAGCCCAATTGGCAGCTCTCCATCGCCACCAGTCAATGGTGGCAACAATGCCAAAAGGGTGGCAGTGCCGAACGGACAACCGCCAAGCGCCGCCCGCTACATGCCTCGGGAGGTGCCGCCGCGATTCCGTTGCCAGCAGGACCACAAAGTGTTACTAAAACGTGGACAGCCCCCTCCACCGTCCTGCATGCTCCTCGGGGGTGGGGCAGGGCCTCCTCCCTCCACAGCACCTGGAGCAAACTCAAACAACGCACAAGTGACAGGAACGCTGCTGCAGGGTGACGGTGGGACTGCACCAGGTGAGGGTTCCACGCTGGGAACGGATTCCGAGGCAGCTTTAAAGCTAGTGAGCACGTCTTCTGTATGGCCTGGTATAGGGTCCACAAAAACCCTTCCTTAGCTAGACTCTTGGGGTCACTCAGAAGATAAGCGAGGATCCCAGGATGAAATGCGCACCAGCGCTTTCCGAAACAGGGTTTTAGCATCCAGCGTGTGCTCTTGGCATGAGAGCGAATGTGGCTGTCACTCATCATCACCATTTGGGACTTTTTTCCCTCCTCAGACGAGTGCATTATAAACCCGAGCGTCCGTAGTTCCAGCCGTCAGCACGAGTGTGTGCTCAGGGTACGACTGGAGGTGGGGCCGGTGCACAGGCTTGTTCTTAACCTTACCTGCCTGTGCTTATGCTCGCAGAACGCCGGGGGCCAAGAGAGAATCATCTCTTAGGTTACTCTGTAGAATCTCGGTGGGAGGAGATACCAGATAATACCATTCTGTAGTTTTTTACTGGATTTTTAAAATTAATTATTTCTTTAGAGGATTTTGAGTTTTGTTAAGAACTGTATGTAGGGGCGCCCTGCTGCCGCAGTTAGAGTGTGCCCCTCTTGATCTTGGGGTCATAAGTTCGAGCTCCACGTTGGGCATAGAGCCTACTTTAAACAGAAAAAAAAACTGCACGCAGTTATAAGGCACCTTTAGCAGAAGGGCTTTACAAGTTTTGAGAGTTTTTAATAGGTGAATACTAAATCAGCTAACAGCCGAGAACCTCCAAACATCACCTCCCCCCCCTTTTGTTTTAAAGCTTATTAACAGATTTCCTCTTAGCTCTTACAAGGTTTTTTTGAGGCTGTACTAAAATTCAGAGCTTGAACGTCATCAGGCCTTGGCAAGAACAAGGAATTGGTCATTGTTAACTGAAGCATGCTTCATTTTGGTTCTGAGTTTGAACATAGAATCGGCTTGGAAAATTCTGTCACTGTCTCTTGTGCAGAGTAAAGATGGAAAGAAACCTCAGAGTTACATGGGCTCTCTGCAGACTTTCCTGTGGTGATCATCAGGCCAGGCCCAAAACACGCAGAGGAAAGCCTCAGGGCCCCTCCTTCTTGACCCCTCATAAGCAGTTGCAGAAGGAAGTCTGTGCGGGGCGGTCATATCAGGTGTTTCTGCAGCCAGATCTAGCCAGGCCTGGATGTAGACATGAGCCCCTCATTTGCATTCTTAAAACCAAGGAGACCCCCTAAATCTCAACAGAGTTGGAGATTCTCTACTTTCCTACACTTAATATGGCTCTGTGCAATATTTTTTCAGTCTTATATTGATTTAAAGCGTCTTGGTTAAAATAACTAAAACAAGTTTAGAAGAAATTACTGAGTTAAAAACGTCATTTTTCTTCCCACCAAATAGGATAAATTACACCAAGATGTGTGCTGAGCCAGACTAATTTGTCAGGCTAAGTTCCTTGGGCATACAAGTGATCCAGGATGCTCGTCTGCCCCAGCATCTGGATGGGTGGGCATTCAGCATTCATTAGATGCTTACTGAGCAGCAAAGCACTGGCCCTTATGAGGAATTCAAACCTTAGCAAGATAGGGTCTCTGCCTAAGAGAGAGAGCTTCTGGGCGAGTCTCTGTGTTAATAGGGGGGAAGGTAGATGGGAACACAGTACCCCAGCACTGAGCAAAATGGCTTTAGACAGGAAAAGGTTATTTTCAAGTGAGGAACTAAAAACCAAACCAAAAACCCTCATAGAGGAAATGGCACTTGAACTAGGCCCAGAAAGATGGATAAACTTCAGTATATGAATCCAAGCAGGGGAACCAGTAGTGCCAGGGTGAGAAGGCACAAGTCGTGGACTGTCGAGGAGTGCAGAATGTAGGCATCCACATAGAAAGTAGTGGAAGATTAGACGAGACAAGTCACTTGGCCCCAGATTGTGCAGTGTCTTGATCAGACTCAAGTTTAGCTTTGTTTTTGTGCACGAAGAAACTTGTGGAAGCTTCCCATACAGCAGTGATCTAATTGACGGGGTGCTTCAGAGCAATTACGCTAGCCAGGAGTGCTTAGAGTAGATTGGAAATAGAAAGCAGCTTCAGCTTGTTACTGCATTGGCTCATGATACAAGAAGGCCCTTCTCTGTCAATAGGAATGACAAGGGGACAGCTTTGAGAAACGTTGTGGAGTGACACTTAGCAATACCCCACCCCTGCAGAATGAGAGAGAAGAGATGACTAGCACAGGTGTGGCACAGTTAACCAAGACAGGCAACTGGGTAGAGAAGCTAGTTTGTGGGGAAAGGTGATGTGTGGCTGTGATTAATCAGATCATCTCTTTCCCAGAGTCAACCCTTGGAGGTGCTGCTGCTTCAAATTATGCAAATTCCACTTGGGGCCCGGGAGCCTCCTCCAACAACGGCGCCTCCCCCAACCCAATTCACATCCGGGACAAGGTGATTGTAGACGGGTCTGACATGGAAGAGTGGCCTTGTATTGCCAGCAAAGACACTGAGTCTTCTTCCGAAAACACCACCGATAACAACAGTGCCTCGAACCCTGGCTCTGAGAAGAGCACTCTGCCAGGAAGCACCACTAGTAACAAAGGAAAAGGGAGCCAGTGCCAGTCTGCAAGTTCTGGGAACGAATGTAATCTTGGGGTCTGGAAATCTGACCCTAAGACTAAATCTGTTCAATCTTCCAACTCTACTACAGAGGGCAACAATGGACTAGGAAATTGGAGGAATGTGAGTGGTCAGGATAGAGTCGGACCTGGCTCTGGCTTCAGCAACTTTAACCCAAATAGCAACCCATCTGCCTGGCCAGCGCTGGTCCAAGAAGGAAATTCTAGGAAAGGGGCATTGGAAACGGATACGAGTAATTCCAGTGCACAGGTTAGCACAGTAGGTCAGGCATCCAGGGAACAGCAGTCAAAGATGGAAAATGCGGGTGTTAATTTTGTTGTCTCTGGCAGAGAACAGGCTCAAATTCATAACACTGATGGACCAAAAAATGGAAACACTAACTCCTTGAACTTAAGTTCACCAAACCCCATGGAAAATAAGGGAATGCCCTTTGGAATGGGCTTGGGGAACGCCTCCAGGAGCACTGATGCCCCTTCACAAAGCACTGGAGATCGAAAGACTGGGAGTGTTGGATCTTGGGGTGCAGCTAGGGGGCCTTCTGGAACTGACACAGCCTCTGGACAAAGCAATTCTGGAAACAATGGGAACAATGGAAAGGATAGAGAGGACTCCTGGAAAGGAGCTTCTGTTCAGAAATCATCTGGGTCAAAAAATGACTCTTGGGACAACAATAACAGGTCTACGGGTGGGTCCTGGAACTTTGGCCCTCAGGACTCTAATGACAACAAATGGGGTGAAGGGAACAAAATGACATCTGGGGTCTCTCAGGGAGAATGGAAACAGCCGACTGGGTCTGATGAGTTGAAAATTGGAGAATGGAGTGGTCCAAACCAACCAAATTCTAGCACTGGAGCATGGGACAATCAAAAGGGCCACCCCCTCCCTGAAAACCAAGGCAATGCCCAGGCTCCCTGTTGGGGAAGATCTTCCAGCTCCACAGGAAGTGAAGTTGGAGGTCAAAGCACTGGAAGCAACCACAAAGCAGGAAGTAGTGACAGTCATAATTCTGGCCGTCGGTCATACCGGCCCACACATCCTGATTGTCAGGCTGTCTTACAGACTCTTTTGAGCCGAACTGATTTGGACCCCAGGGTGCTCTCAAACACTGGCTGGGGCCAAACTCAAATTAAGCAGGACACAGTGTGGGATATTGAAGAGGTGCCAAGGCCTGAGGGGAAGTCTGACAAAGGAACTGAGGGGTGGGAGAGCGCTGCCACACAGACCAAGAACTCAGGGGGCTGGGGAGACGCACCCAGCCAAAGCAATCAAATGAAGTCTGGATGGGGGGAGCTCTCAGCCTCTACAGAGTGGAAAGACCCCAAGAACACAGGAGGCTGGAATGACTACAAGAACAACAACTCTTCCAACTGGGGAGGTGGACGACCGGATGAAAAGACATCTTCCTCTTGGAACGAGAACTCCAGCAAGGATCAGGGGTGGGGAGGGGGGCGCCAGCCCAATCAAGGATGGACTTCTGGGAAGAATGGTTGGGGAGAGGAAGTTGATCAAGCGAAAAACAGCAGTTGGGAAAGTTCTGCAAGTAAACCTGTGTCTGGGTGGGGTGAAGGAGGGCAGAATGAAATTGGAACTTGGGGGAACAGTGGGAATGCAAGCCTAGCTTCCAAAGGCGGGTGGGAGGATTGCAAAAGGTCTCCAGCATGGACTGAGACTGGCAGGCAGCCCGGTTCCTGGAATAAACAGCACCAACAGCAGCAGCAGCCACAGCAGCCGCCACCACCACAACCAGAGGCTTCCGGTTCATGGGGAGGCCCACCCCCACCACCTCCCGGCAATGGACGACCTTCCAGTTCCAACTGGAGCAGCGGGCCACAGCCAGTAACCCCTAAGGATGAGGAACCCAGTGGTTGGGAAGAGCCATCCCCACAGTCAATTAGTCGGAAAATGGACATCGATGATGGCACTTCAGCATGGGGAGACCCTAACAGTTATAACTACAAGAATGTGAATCTGTGGGATAAGAATTCCCAAGGGGGCCCAGCACCTCGAGAACCAAACCTGCCTACCCCGATGACCAGTAAATCAGCATCAGGTAGGCAGTGGCTGCTTCTTGCGGGTTCAATAAGGAAAAGTCCTAAACCGGGGCGTTGGTATTTATTCATTTATTCTGCATTTATTCAAGTTGGTTTTGTTCTGGAAATCTTTCTACATTAACCCTACTCTACTGTTAACAGACGCTCTCTTTTTATAAAATGATAGTGATAACAGATGCTGGTGGTACATTTTAATGTTCTTTCTTGGCAAAAGGAAAAAGATGGCCATCCCTGTGTTAGTCTTCCAAAGGGTTTTTTTTTTTTTTTTTTTTTTTTTTTTTTTTGGTAATTGTATTGGTCTTGCAGAATCCAAAAAATGTATCTTGCTAAACAAACTATGCTCCAGATTTTAAAAATGAAGAATTAAAATAGCAGCAGAAATAGACCTGATTTCCATTCAGTTTCTACCCGTGGACATATCCTCTGTGTTTCTCCTTCCCCAGCGAAGGGAAGTATTTTGTGTTGTTCTGGAAGGGGCCGTTGGAATGCTGTAGCACAGCAGGATCTGGAAGGTTTCAGTCACTTCCCAGATGACTTCTAAAGATCACCTCTGGAGGTGGAATACTTCACATAAGAAGTTGCTCTCTCATGATATTCAGTTTCCCAGAATTAAACTTTCTTCTTCCTCTGTTTGGATAGAAACCATGGCCATACCTGGTAAATTAAAAGTAGTGCTAGTAATGCCATCTTTGGCATTGTCAACTTGAATGTCCCCATAAAGCATGTAATTCAACAAATTAAGGGGATGCACTCTTCAGGTGGGGTTTTTGTTTTTGTTTTTCTAGGTAGAATTAATACTTGGTTTTCCACTCCTCGGGTAAGCATAGTGTTCAGTGAATGTATTTATGGCCACTTAGAAAATGATTGCTTTTAACTCGTTCTCTTTTTCCCCTCTCAAATATTGAAAAGAATGAAGCAGGAAATAAAGATCGCTTATTAATTCCCTGTCCAGCATAAGACCTGCTAACATGAAAAAAATTTATTATCCATATAGTAAAAAACCTTAACTATATAGAAAAGCGAAATGTAGTAAATAAAAGAATCTTAGCCCCCAGGGTCTCTTCCCACAGGTAATGTCTTAAGAGTTTTGTGTCTCATTCAGAAATTTTGTTCATACCTGTAGCAAAATATATCTATCCTTTACAGCTTTTACACAGAAGGGATTGTACTGTATACACTGTTCTTCACCTTGCTTTTTTCATCATACTTTAAAACTTTCCATGTTAGCACATACATTTTTGTCTTTTATTTGCTTCGTGTACAGTGTTTATTTCATGGGTGACAAAATTGGCCTAACCAGTCCCTCTTTGATAGATACTTAGGTTGCTTCCAGATGGTTTCCAGCAGCGATCCAGTGAGCATTGTTGTACCTGTAGGTTTATGTACTTTACAAGTGTATCTATCGTATAATTTCCCGGCAGAGGAAGTACTGGGCCAGAAGTTAAAGTGACAATGCCTGTTGCCTCCATGAGGGTGCAAGCCATTCCTATTTCTGCCGGCTGAACCCAGGAGTGCCTGTTTCTCCCACTGTTGCCGCCCCTCCCCCGCCCTGGCTACCTGGCTCCCTGGATATTAGGATGTTTCCTTTAACAGATCCTTCTTAGAGACCCATTTTCTTTCTTTGCAGTCTGGAGCAAAAGCACACCACCTGCTCCAGATAATGGTACTTCAGCTTGGGGTGAGCCAAACGAAAGCAGTCCTGGGTGGGGTGAAATGGATGACACGGGAGCATCGACCACAGGCTGGGGGAACACACCCTCCAACGCTCCAAATGCCATGAAACCTAGTAAGTGTACAGCCTTATTTGTGAGGGAGTCTCCGTTGATCTGGAGGCCAAACATGTTGGTGAGGAGTGGGCTGATGTTTAAACTGTCGTTTCAATGAGATTGAGGACCGTGGACCTTTAATAAACCATCAGTCACAAATGACCGTGACTTAGCTTTGCGTATGTTAACATGTTTACAGTCTAGAAGACGTAAGTTGATTTTGTTGATTTTAAGTTAGGTTTAGTATCTGGCCAGATTTGAAATGTTGCCGTGGTGCTTTTTTTGCCAGTAACGTAAATATTGCTCACCATCTCTGTTTTGCATCTCTGCCCCTTTGTTAGTATAATTTGAAAAAGACTTTTCCTGGCTTTTACTGTGGATCACAGCCTCTGCCGCTCAGTGACTTTATCCTTCTGTTTCTTCCTTGTCCCTTTGTCTCTCTTCTCATACTTCCACCCACATAGAACATTTAAGGTTTCTTGAATCCAACAAAGATTTCTTCATTTGAGTTTTTTATACGAAGCATGTCACACTTATTCATAATCATTGAAAGTCTAAGCTATCCTTGATCCAGCTGGCAATGTATAGGCACAGTAATTTGTAAAACTTTGTAAACCGATGCTATGGAATGTTGAAAAATTCAATTTCAAGTGCCCATTTTCACTTGTTTGTCGTTTTCTTTAAAAGTATTCCAACATCTCTTTTCTGCCATATTGCAGACTTAAGGTATTATCTTTTGACTTAAAAGTGTGGTCATACTGAGTGCTCAAAATTTGAACTAGAATAACAAATTCTGTTGTCCGTTCTATCATATGATATGTATGACTCTTAATAGTGCCACATGAAGAAATATAATTTTAGCTATTTTCTAGAAATTGATTCTTGTGTCTGTAATTTGCATTTTAAAAATTACAAATCTCCTTCACTTCAAAGAAATAGAAATAGCTTTATAAAGATGATGATTTCATCATGATTTTCACTGTAAAATTGGTTGTATCATCATGGAAAATACCACGCTATAAACTTGAAATAGATCCAAAATGGGTGTTGGAAGACATGAACCAGACCCTCGGCACAAGGAAATGCTTGAGCAGTACTGTCAGGATTTCTCCGTGTCTTTCCCAACCTTAGAATCATACTTCTTCCATCACAAAACCTTCTCAGTTTAAAAATGTCTTCTCTTCAGGATCGTCTGTAGTTAAAGCTATAATTGTACCTACCCTTTGTCTAGGTAATATGAATGTGGAAGGGGCTAGATTGTTTGCCTTGGCAGAGAGATGGATTAGATACAGTGACAAACACCTCAAATGCTGCACTCGTAAGGACTGTTCATTGTGGTTATTACCATATATAGCTATAGCATACGATTGATCTATTCTTTTCCTAAAGATTCCAAATCTATGCAAGACGGCTGGGGGGAGAGTGACGGTCCAGTGACGGGAACTCGCCATCCCAGCTGGGAAGAGGAGGATGATGGAGGAGTCTGGAACACCGCCGGCTCTCAGGGAAGTGCTTCCTCCCACAACTCAGCAAGCTGGGGACAAGGAGGAAAGAAGCAAATGAAGGTAAGCCCACTTTAGAAATGCTTGAGCTTGTTTCTTCATTCTTAGAAGGCAGAACTGAGAATTTTCTAACGGAGGAATCCCTGAGGTCCTAAGTAAGGGGGAAAATATTTTCTTAAGAGCAAATAATTACTTCCTCTTTATTCCTCATCTTCCTTCCCCATGACCTTGAAACCTCAAACTACAGAGCTGTTGCTGTGAACAAAGTGGAATTTTTCAAAGAGGAGATTTTTTTCACTTTTAGTTTCCATATGATGATAACTCTTTGGAAGCTTTCAAGGCATACCTTATAAATGTTTTATGCTTTTGCATTCTAAAGCCAAGGAAGTCTTTAGGGTAAGTCCCCATGATATATAGAAGAGAAACCAAAGAAAGATAGTTTCTCCAGTGGCGATCAGCATGACTGGTTTTTATCCGATTCGGGAAATTCCAAAACCCAGAACCATCCAACAAAGTGAAGTGCCGGTGCGTGACCCTGCTGTATCAGCCGGCTGATATTATCTATATCCTATGCCTGGTCGTGTTCTAAAGTTGTCGCTTTCCGGAGCACTTGAGTGGTTCAGTTGGCTAAGCATCCGACTCTTGATTTCAGCTCAAATCTTGATCTCGGAGTCATAGGTTCAAGTCCCACATTGGGCTAAACGCTGCCATGGAGCCTACTTAACTAAAAAAAGTGGGGGGAATAAAGTTGTCACTTTCCTTGTCTTAGAGCAACTCGGTTTCTACTTTGATTTGCATAATTTGATGAGAACTTTGGTTTCAATCTAGAACAAGTCTTTGAACCTGAACCACTCTCTCAGCAGAGGCGTTCTTTCCCTTCTGCAGGTAAATTGATGGACATAAGGAATGGGCAGTCATATATTTAATTTCAACATGGGAGCCTTGCTGCCCCGTGAAACATTTCACTGAACATTGTCCTGGTTTCAGACACCAAGTACCCTCCTGGAAGGTCTTTGGTTGGCTCAGGGGGCTGGCTGTGCCTTCATCCCCTTTACTGCAGGATGCAATTTTGTTCTGAATAGGGTAGCTCAGTAGCCGAGAACACAGATAGTTCCTGTTGGAGGCATCCTGGATAAGCAGCCAGTCACAGTTTCCCTCCTAAGGACTTCTGTTCACTCACCCAAGTCACAGAAGGAATTATTCAGATAAACTGGTCAGCATCTTTGTACTCTCATATTGTCTGGCTTGCTGTGGCTTTGTTTTTGTCATTTACGAATTCCCAATGAGTCGGATTAAAAAGACAGTCGAGGGAGACTGCTGATTGACCCGAAGGGAGCAAGGGAAAGGTGCTGGCCCACTGGGTGGCCCTGAGACGTAATTGATCCGGCTCAGTGGGAATTCAGTGTTTCTGCCCCGTGATTGACAATTCTGACCTTTTGTATCCAAGAGCCTTTTTTTTTTTTTTAACTGTGATCGAAGGCAGATAACATAAGATTTACCATTTTAGCCATTTTTAGGTACACAGAGAGTTCATTAGTGTTGAGTGCATTCACACTATTGTGCAACCGTCACCACATCTCACCACAAAACTCTTTTCATCCGCAATACCGAAACTGTTTGCGTTAAACAAAAACTACCAGTTAGTTCTCCCTTCCCTAAGCGAGGGCTTTCTTGACCTTAAAACCTGTAACTGAACTGAAATAAACTTACTCACTTTCAAGAATAATAAAACGATATAACAAATGTCATCAAAACGCAGAGTTTTTATCGGTAGATTGTGCAAGTGCACAAAGCCCCATCACCCCGTGTGCCCCCCCCCCCAAGTCCTCATCACAGTTCCACCTGCCTCCTCCGTAGAAGTAAAGGGGGAGCTGATGCTGGGTGTCCTGTTTAAGGAAGAAACTAGGTCCCTTGAGAAACAAAAACTCAGGGGCACCTGGGTGGCTCGGTCGGTTAGGTGTCTGCCTTCACTCAGGTCATGATCTCAGGGTCATGGGATCGAGTCCCACATCAGGCTCCCTGCTCAGCGGGGAGTCTGCTTCTCCCTTTCCCTCTGCCCCTCCCCTCTGCTCGAGCTCATGCTCGCTCTATCTCAAATAATTAAGTTAAAAAAAAACAAAAACAAAAACTCAGCATCTGCCTTACTTTACAGTAAGATCAGTGAGGTCTTCCGCTAGGCCTCTTTCCCACTGGGGACCCCGGTCGTTTATACTGTTAAACAAGCAGATGAAGGGTACGTGGATGAGTCTTCATTGTTTCCACACAAAAACTAATGACCAGCTTAAATAGCCCATTTTAATAGGTTAGTGCCTATTTATTTTCCAAATAACAGGCACTAGCATCGAACTCTTTCTTCGACTACAAACTGGGTTACAAGGAGATAGTAAAGGGGAAAGTACTAGGATGCAAACATTGTGTTTTAGAAGATCTGATATTGACCTTCTTCTATTTGTAAGGTAAAAACACCAGCAGACCTGGGTGCCTGGGTGGCTCAGTCAGTTAAGCATCTGCCTTCAGCTCAGGTCATGATCCCAGGGTCCTGGGATCTAGTCCCCCATCAGGCTCCCTGAGTAGTGTGGAGTCTGCTTCTCCCTCTCCCTCTGCCATTCCCCCTGGGGGGGGAGTGGGGGAAGCCGACTATATTTTTTCCAGTTAATTCTAATTCAGTGTGACAAAAGAAAAAGGAAACCACAGAACTAAAGCTTATTAATCTTTCATCCTAATAGATTAAATATCAAAATAATCATAGTTAAAAGAGGGAAATTTGGGCTCAAAAAGGTAAACTGTTGGTTCTGCATTTTCAGTCAGTACTTAAATGCAACTCAGATATGAAGTGAGATAAAATAATTTGGTTCTGAGGTTACATATTTCATTTCTGTAGTGCTCACTGAAAGGAGGAAACAATGATTCATGGATGAATCCTCTTGCCAAACAGTTTTCAAATATGGGATTGCTGGTAAGTTTCGTTTTCTTATATGTGTAACACAGCCCAGCTTTTACTTTTAGTACAGATGTTAAAACCGCTGCCACATAGAGTACAATATTACAGAGTTAGAAACTGGTTAAACAGTGTTTCTGATTTAAGCAATATTTGTCTTCTTTTATTCTTAGTGAGCTACTCCAATATTTAATGGTTATGGCTTTTGAGTTTGTAGTCCTTGTAACCTTTTCCTTAGGTGGCTAGAGGAAGAAAGAGCCAAGCCTTAAAACTTGTATAATTTTCCCTGGCTACTACTGTACCAGTTTTAATATTACAGTTTTTAAAACGGCAGCAACAGCAAAATAACTAGAGAAAGTATTTGTAATTAATTATATAGGAAATTCTTGGAGGACGTCTTTTTTTTTTTTTCCTTTCCCTTATCTCTTGGGAGCATCATGGGGACACCCCGTCCCTGGTTGCCAAAAGACAAATAGCTTGACTTGGCTGCACATTTCCAGATTGATGACTTGACGAGTCACGAGAAGAAGTTGTCATCATTTGGCTGACACTCGTGGAATTTGATCCTGAGCCGACTGGAGCTTGAGGACAGGGTTTTATTTCTCTAAGTGGCTGTTTAGCTATTGCTGTGTCCATAGAATTACTAAAGCTAATTCTGTGTGAAAATTGAATTTGGGAGTATAGACACCAATGGCAATCAAATTAGACGTATCCCGAATGATCTTGTCTTCATCCCTGCGTAAGGTTCACATCAAAGGATCTTGTATGGTGCCCATCAGATGCCACAGCTCTCATGTAAATAATGCGATTTTTTTTTTCTCTGATCCAGACATTGAATTCAAAGCTTTAATCCTCCCTCTCTGTTGCTTCTTTTTCAGAGTCAAACTGAAGATAATCCAGGCAGCAAAATGGATTTGTCTGTAGGTGTGTATCACTCCACAAATAAGAATGGAATGTATTGTTGTTAATGATGCCGCGTTGGATCCCTGCTCAGTTTGAGTTGGGGCGGGTGCTATTCAGCAGACGTGAAGGACTGTCCTACACACTAGGTGGGGGTTGAAAACTCAAACGGCTGCAGGATCCAGGAAAGTCCTTTAAATGAATGGTGTGTGCCAGGTATGAGAAAGTGGGAGTTGGAGGCCACTGGTTACTCTGGGGGCGTATGTACCCATTTACAGGATCTAGGACTCAGCTTTGTCAGAGCTTTCAGTTTACAAGCAAGGCCAGAAATACATCCATGGACAACCCAATACTTAAATACTGGAAGCTAATTCAGATTTTAAGAACTGCGGTGTGTGGAGGTGCCTGGGTGGCCCAGTGGGTTAAGGCTCTGCCTGTGGCTCAGGTCATGATCTCAGGGTCCTGGGATCAGGCCCCACATTCGGCTCCTTCCTCAGTGGGAAGCCTGCTTCCCCCCCCCCCCCGCCACCGCCTGCCTCTCTGCCTATTTGTGATCTCTTTCTCTGTCAAATAAATAAATAAAATCTTAAAAAAAAAAAAAAAAGAATTGCGGTGTGTGGCCGAACAAAGTATCCTGTGGCCCTGCCAGCCTCTGCTCTCAGCTTGTTAGTCCCGTCTGCCCTGGCATGTTGCATTATTGACGAGCTCGCCTGCTGCAAGTGGGCCAGATGCGGCATCTGCCCTTCATCTGTGGGGTCGTCCCCATGACTCTGTTGCTCACCTTGAGGAACTAAAAAGAATCAAACCAGGAAGACAGTCCTGGGTCATAAGGGAGATAGTCTTTGATCTATGATATTTTTTAAAATCTAAGAATAACAAAAAAGCATGCTTCCAGGAGCACTGATCATGTCCGTATATGATAGCAAATTTCCAGAGCGGCGAAGAAAATGAGGAATAACCATGGTACTTAATGTGTTCAACTCTGATTTCTAAATTCTAGAGTAACAGCTGTGCCTCTTAGGCCTTTTTATTCCCAATAACTGTTTCACAGCCCCACCCATTTATCTAGCAGATGCTAAAAGGGCAGGAGACAAATTTTCTCCCCCAGGACAATTGAATCTATGAGCAAGTGATATTCATCAAACATGTCAATAACTGGTGGGAATATTTTTTTAGTCAGGTTTTTACCGGGACGTGTCTGAGTCTCTCTCTCAATCCTCCATTGAAAACAAGCTACAACTGATACGGGTTTTTTAAAAAGGAACAAAAGGACTCACTTGCGCTCGAGGGAGGGTTCCCCAGCAGCCTGAACCAGTGAGATCCCTTGTGGGCTACACCCAGCACCTAAGGGACAAGAGTGGGGCTGGTAACTCCTTGTCGTGAGGGAGATTTTGGTTCTTGAAATTTTCACTTCTTCTGTGCTCTTTTTCAGGGAGCCTTCCAGATAAAAAATTTGACGTGGACAAGCGAGCGATGAATCTCGGGGATTTTAATGATATCATGAGGAAGGATCGATCTGGGTTCCGTCCACCTAATTCCAAAGACATGGGAACCACAGATAGTGGGCCTTATTTCGAGAAGGTGAGTCAAATCCTTTGTTTCAGACAGTAATTCATGTGAACCACTTGGGTTCCCATTTGTTCTTTTGATAATCAGTTCCAGGAGGAAGCATAGAATTACTGAATTAATGAGCAAAACGCAAACATCACCTGCATTTAAGTGGTGACATAAAAACAGTCGATGTCAACAGGTGATTAGGCAGAAGCTAGAACCATCTGTCTTTAGTATGTGAAGAAGGTCTAAGTCTTTAGAAATTTTATGAAGTTTGGAAGGGGTGGGGGGATGGATGGTCTGACTTTTTACAGTACGGGAAATGCACACTCAAAACATGTAGAAGAAATTTGAGAGACAAATTTATTCTGAATTCTTTTCTCTGCTGCTGTACAATGAGAAATTAAATTTGGGATCTTGTGCAAACAATCCGTATCTCCTAAGGCCTTGCCTTCCAGCCTCAGAACTTTCTCTTTTGTTATGTCTAAGAGAGTTCCTTTGTTCTTTCTCCATGTCCCTAGTGACCTGTTTTTAGTTACAATGGTATACTGTCCAAATTCTCAACTACCTTATTTAAAGAAGTCATTTATACCTATTTATTTTGATTTTTATCATTCCTAATGGAGGAAGTAACTCCTTGATTGACAGTACTGATTTGCCATGGCCCTGGCTCTGCAGAAAGCAATGAAAACCAGAAGTTTTACGCTGATGCTGCTGTTCAGGCAGCAACAGATTCACAGGAAGATTACTCTGGCTTCTCTTTCAGCAGCCACGTAGAGTAATCAGTAGTAGAAGCATAAAAATAAAGTATCTGGCAGTTTTTATCCTAGTGCAATGGACAGAATGTGTTACTGATTTAGAGGATAAGAAAAAAAAAATCCGTATCAGAGATGATAGATGGTGTCTTTTGGGCCAAGTATAATGACTCTTATCAAATCCAAATTCCATCCTCGTTTATTGCTAATACACTCTAACTCTGTTTGTTCCTAGTGTTTCTCTCTTGTCCCTTCTTGCATTCTGTTGCTTCACTAACCAACACTCATTGTGATTGGCTAACTCCTACTACTTTTCAGCTGACTTTGCCTTTCTCCAATCAAGATGGGTGCCTTGGGGATGAGGCTCCCTGCTCTCCCTTCTCCCCTTCTCCCAGCTACAAGCTGTCTCCCTCTGGTTCCACACTACCCAACGTCAGCCTTGGAGCAATCGGCACAGGGCTCAACCCCCAAAACTTCGCTGCTAGACAAGTAAGGAGGCCTCTCAAATTTACAACTGCTTGGCTGTGGCCTCGCCTTGGCCCTGGTCTGCAGTTCATTGCATCATTTGTCTGTCTTGGGAAATTTGTTGATTACTGAATGCACAGAATGATACTAAGTATAGGCTTTAGATCTCTTAGCCCGCAGAACCCATCTCTCCTCATACTTTCTCAACATGGATTTTATTTAAATCTGTTTCTTTTGTCTTCTCATTTTTGGTCCTAAGTTCACATTTAAGAAGTTAAGTGAGTTCCAAGTTAAGCTAAGTTCCTAAGAACTAGTTTAGGAAAATGTTAAAGAGGCTATGTAGGTATCTTATGTTATCTAACTTAGCAACAAATTTGCAATTCTTAACCTTGGATTGAATGGCAAGTGATTTTTTTTTTTTTAAGATTTTATTTATTTATTTATTTGACAGACAGAGATCACAAGTAGGCAGAGAGGCAGGCAGAGAGAGAGGAGGAAGCAGGCTCCCTGCCGAGCCGAGAGCCCGATGCGGGGCCCGATCCCAGGACCCCGGGATCATGACCCGAGCCGAAGGCAGAGGCCCCAACCCACTGAGCCACCCAGGTGCCCCGGCAAGTGATATTTTTGAAGTCCTTTCACGTTAGTAAAACTTCTCCTTAGAAAATAGCAGCAAAACTAGTAAGAGTAAATACTGGAATGTTACAACATCTTAAATTCTAGTGTCTTTAAGGGTAAAATACGATAATTAGCCCGAGAGAGGTAATTTGATAGGAGAGAATGAAGTTTTGGGAAGACTGGACATTGCTCAGACATATTGGCCTATTTGCTAGGGGCGGGCCTCAGCCCTCCTGAGGGGGCGGAGGGGAGACAAGCACCAAGAGTGAGACTGGCAGGGTAGGCCCCTGGGGCCCCCTCCCCTCCGTGGGCCTGACACAGTGCCACAGGCCTCTGTCACCCCACAGCAGCTCGAGGGTAGTTCTCAGGGAGAAAACCAGGAATTGGGAGACAATTCTGTGACAGTGACTCCAGTGATGATATTTTCCTAGCCACGGTTCTGTGACCACTTACTGTCACAGTGACTCTCACCTCAGGATGTCATGGAAGGACATTTAATTTTTAATTGTATCCATTCTGTTTCCACATACTGACTTTCACATACAAGTGAAAGGATATTATAGAACACCTCTTACACCGTAGTCCTCAGTTGCACACAGGTCTTTCATACACTTTAATTATTGCTGTTAGCACATTTTAAAAATGGATCATATGATATCCTCGTGTTCAGTTGGTTATTTCTGGTTTGGGAGTTATGGGTAATTTCTTGTTTTCTTTTTTTATATTTCTAGTGTTTTTCTTAATGCTTCCACAGAGGACATAGACATATTTTGCTTATATAAACAAACAAGAAATAATTATATCGGTGGTTTGGGGCAGCTCTCTTTTTGGAGTGAAGTATAGAAAATATAAAATAGTCCGAAACTCTTGATTAATGATGATTACAAACATGCCTACAGGATTGTGCATTTATCAAGAGCCATTAGTATATAATTTTTATTTTATTTTATTATCATTTTTTACGATTTTATTTATTTAACAGAGAGGGAGGGGGGGATTACAAGTAGGCAGAGAGGCACGCAGGGAGGGTGGGGGTAAGCAGGCTCCCTGCAGAGCAGAGAGCCCGATGTGGGGCTCAATCCTAGGACCCTGAGAGCATGACCTGAGCTGAAGGCAGAGGCCCAACCCACTGAGCCACCCAGGCGCCCCTGTAATTTTTAATATAATAGACCAGCCAAAGTAGCTGGTACTGGGCTTGAAGAAAAGGTCATTCCTCTTTGGGTTTTTTTTTTAATCCTAAAAATGGAATGCTGCAAAGTCCATTGTGAATCCGGTGGGTACGTGTGTCGTGGTTCTTTTATGCCATTTTCATTCAGCCTTAATATAGTTCATAATTCATAATTAAAAATTAAAATGGAAGATTTTTATTTTCAAATCACAGATTACCATCAGCTTGGTAACTTGGTTTATAATTTATGTGCCTTTCTATGTTAAACACTACAGCTGAGGCAGCGATCACCATTAAATACTAGGACTCAGGTCAGCATAAAAGCCTTGTATTCAGCAGGGAAGCTCTAGAAATAACCAGATAAGCTGCCGTGAACATACATATAAGCATTGGATGACCATTTTCCTAATTTCTAAATACAGTCTTAAAAAACTATATGATTGCCACTAGCCATGTTATCCCAAGCCAAGAAAACAAGCGGCAGTGCCAAGGATCCATATTTAAACAGAAAGAAGGTATTTCGGATAGACCGCTATTAACTCATCTGTACTGTTACTGTATCAGACGTATCACAAGGCTTGATATGGCTTTAGAGACACTTGATAAAGCAAACTTAAAACCTCTGGGCGGTGGGCAGGGGGTGGCACCTGTTCACTGGGAATGCGCAAATAAGGCCTGATTTTACAAAAACGAAAAAAGGCAAATTCCTTCTAATATTTCTTACCAAAAGAGGGGTTGGAATGTAAAGCAGTTTTGGACTTTTTAAAACATGGATTCTGACAAGGACTGCAGCTACCAGAAATCCCACCATCTGAGGACCCAACCATGAATAATTCACATCTGATAACAAGGTCATTACTTTTATAGTAAAGTGTGAGAATTTTCTCAGTGAAACAGATGTTTCCCATGTTCTTGAGAATGATCAGTAGGTAAGCTACCAGCTACCACGATCTTAGAAAAATTAGAGCCAAACCATGTCACCTTAGAGTGACAGTTTGATTAGTAAAGCAGGGGAAGTGGCGACATTACAGCTTGTAAAATTAAAGGTCTTTTCATGTTTAAACAGTCTTTGGGGAGATTGGAAATTCATGATGGATCTCTGATTTTCTTTTGTGAGATATACACAGATTTTGATTGCCTTTTCTACTTTATGTTCATAGCCATTTTTATTTTCAGTGCTTTTAAGTTCATTAATTTCCTGGTAGCAGTCCCTTAATCTATCTTGAATCATTAAGCCATTGAAATATCTTTAGTGTTCTAGAACTTAGTGGTGCTGTTACAAAATTCCTCCTTAAAATTACCTTAATCCCCACTGTGCCAAGGAGAAGACGGTGACTTCAGTTCAGAATACACATCCTTGTATTAGCAGGGGAAGGGCTGTCTTCACCAGAGATACTCCGTGGGATGTTGTCAAGTATATGGAATTGGTGGGTCATGACATTTGCATCCTATAGACTAGCCCTTTATTGATTTCTGGGAGTACAGAGAGGGAAGTTTTAAGCTGGTGGTGGACAGACAGAATGGAAAATTAATGTGACCTGCTCATGGGGTCCATCAAAGAGTGTTTAATGTGTTTTCAGAACATAGAGGTGGGCTTAGTTAATAGAATGTGAAACAAGGAAGAAGGTTCGGGGAAGACTTCCCTTGTGAGGATGACCTCTGAGCTGGGCCTCAAAGAGGCCAAGTGAAGATGGTGTAGAAGCTTTCCTCAGACAGAGGGAACAGTGTCAAGTTCTTCGCTGAAGGGCTTTTTCTCGCTTGAAACAAGTCAGAAGGGCCATCTTATAACCCAGTTTTGTGTAGCTCTTTGATTGGAATAGTATAGAAGTACTCCAGTGAGTTGATGCTCCAGGAATCAGGGAATTAAGCTTATTTTTAACCAGACTAATGTTCATACATTGGAATGAGAGGTTACAGGTGAGTAACGGTTTTTTTGGTGTCCCAGTAATGGTTTTTCACCTTTTCCCTTTTCTGCCTTTTTTTTTTCTTTTTCTCTTTCTTTTTTTTAAAAACTTCACTCTTGATTTAGATTTTCTCATCTAGCAAAGAAGGGATCAAGCAGACCCAAGACAGGGAAGGGTGTTCAGATCTCAAGTTGGGTTCTCATGGGGCTGGACTACAATTTGGTGGCACTGATCCTATGATTGAGCTAGTCAATTCAGAGACATTAATGTCCTAGTGTTGTTTTAAAGTTGATACTATTCAGATGGCTGCATTGTACTCAGGTGCCTTTTCAAGATGGAGCTCAGATTATTGGACTTGAAAATAAATTTGGTAAACTCAGTCTTAAAAAAAAAGAAAGAAAAAGAGAGCAGTTGAAATAAACACTATATTGCCTATACCTTTCAATTACAAAAAAAATTTGTGCATTTTTTTTTTAACATTTGACCAAATTTAACCCTTCTGGTTGTAGAGTGCATCCGAGTGCAGGGGTGGTGGTGCTGTGTGCATGATTTGATTTGAATAATTTCCCCAAACATTCCAAGACCAGGACATTTTTAGTTAGAAAATTCTGTGATTCCATGGAACACAGGCTATGATTCTTCTGAGGGATAGAAAACCAGAACTGTTTCTTTTTTGCACTTTCTTACATTAACAAAAAGCCTTATTGTTGCCGTTCGTTTACAGGGTGGCAATCATGGTTTGTTTGGAAATAGCACAGCACAATCGAGAGGTATGCACACACCAGTGCAGCCACTAAGTTCTTCTCCTAATCTCCGGGCGCAAGTGCCTCCGCAGTTTATTTCCCCCCAGGTAAGCAATTTTGTGTTTCCGCAGTTCAGTAGTAAAGCCTATCCAGGTGGTTATCAGTCACCAACAGGCAGGTTTTATGGGCATAAAGGGAATAATAGTTACCTAAATGTCTGAAATGTAAAAAATCCAGACCAAGATTTGGGGGGGGGGGGGGGAACAAGCACATGGGGGGGGGGGGGCAGGAGAACCAGGCTCCACACTGAGCAGGGAGCCCAACTTGGGTCTGGATCCCAGGACCCTGAGATCATGACCTGAGCCTAAGGCAGACGCTTAGCTGACGAAACTGCCCAGGTCAAGCCACCAGATCAAGATTTTTAGAAAAAATGTCAAACTCAGTTCTTTAATGTATCATACATACAAAGATGTTTTTGCTTGAAAACCATTCTGATTACATTCCTTTTAGATGTCTCTATATTTTTCTAATGCTGCATTTGTTATTTTCTTTGCGTGCAAATAAAACTACTTTGTAAATCCCGATACGTCAACACTCTGAAGTCGGTTGCCCTTGAGGATCCACCAGCACAGAAGCGGGAGAATAGCCAGGCTCTGGGTTACTCTGAGAAATTTTTTTTTTTTTTTTAAGATTTTATTTATTGATTTGACAGAGATCACAAGTACACAGAGAGGCAGGCGCAGAGAGAGAGAGAGAGGGAAGCAGGCTCCCCGCTGAGCAGAGAGCCCGATGCGGAACTCGATCCCAGGACCCTGAGATCATGACCTGAGCCGAAGGCAGCGGCTTAACCCACTGAGCCACCCAGGCGCCCCTACTCTGAGAAATTTTGAGGAGATAGATGTTGAAGTACTAACTAGGTGCTCTAGGAGGGGGTTTGGAACAAATGAAATGGCAGAGACTTACTCCTGGAGCATCTCTGTGTTGTGGGTATAGTCTCTGGGGAAACCTTTTAGGTCCGTTTCTTAGTAGGAGATGTGCCGTGAGTTGTTGGCAAGGTACGGGGAGAGATTTGTGCCACAAACTGTCCCTCATACCTCTTTGTGAGAAAATGGGTCTGAGGAGCAGTATAAAAGCTATGAGTCCGTGTAAGGATTCAGCGAGTGACTTAGTCTCCTTAGAATGTCACTTCAGTGAACTAAGATAAAGAGCTCTGACTCTGTCCCATCCTCTAGAAGGGCGTGGGACACTTACTAGGTCCAACCATCAGGTTATGAAGGGTCAGGTTTTGTTGCTGTTTTGTTTTTGAAATATCTTGTAATACTTAGGCTTAAAATATTTATTTGAAACCATATCCTATAGATTTCAGATTCTGTGTTTGACATTACGTCTGTAACTATCTTAGCAGGAGAGGAAATGTTCATCACGTCACCCTCCCATCTCCATGGTCCTGTGCCAGGGGTCTGGGAGTCCTCTTGGTATCTCTCCTTCCTTGCCCCTGTCTCTAAGTCCTGGTCATCCTCCAGGCCCCAGGTAGCCGTCTGTCCTCTAGACAGAGCTGCTCCCAACTTTCCCAGTGCTCCACGGTCACTGTGTCTTCCTGACTCCCAGCGCACTCTCTAACATGCCTGGTGTCAGGCCACAGTCCTGCGGTTATCAGATGTCTGCGGTATGCCCAGTGGTGGTGTTGGCCTTGCACAGACGAAGAAACTGCCATCTCCTGTCATACCCTCCTGGAGTTGGTGGGGGTGATGGCAGAACAGTCAGCAAATAGGCACCATGATCAATGTTACATAGAAATGTTCAGCGCAGTTTGGGAGTTGGGTGCGGCCTCGCACTAGGAGTGGCATTTAATCTGGGTCTTGAAGAGTGAGTCCGAGTTTGCTGAGCACCACCGGGTAAAGGTGACTTCTAAGCAGTAGGAACGGCTTGGACAGGAGTAGTCATATCTGGAAGAACATGGTATATTTGGGAAAATGCAGTCGATTTGAATAGTTAGGTTGAGGGGCGTCTGGGTGGCCCAGTGGGTTAAGGCCTCTGCCTTCAGCTCGGTCATGATCCCAGGGTCTTGGGAACCCTTGAAATGTGACCAGCGGGTGGAAGAACTGAAATTTTAATTGATTTAAACTTAAATAGCCACACCTGGTCGGTGGCTACTGAAGGAACATTCTAGATGCATCACGGGAAGTTAAGGGTAAATCATGTTACCACTTTATCCTCTCACGGCTCCCTCTCTCCCCAGCTCTTTACCGGGGGCTTCAGTGCTCGTGGTGACCTCCCCACCCCAGACACCTGCCACTCTCCCTCCCATTAGCTCTGGCCTGTCTAGTCAGCGTGCCCTAGGGTACCAGGTGTGTTCTGGAATGCTGTTCTCACAGATTGCCACGGGGCTCCATCTGTACCAAGGCGCCTTCCCAGAGAGGCTCTCCCAGGCCAGTCTGTGGACCGTACAGCCCACCTCGGTCGCTCTCCCCACCCGCAGGCGTGTGCCGAGCTTCACAGTGGCCGAGTCTGTGTCTGCCTTTGTTCACTGCTGGATCCTGAAATCCACGACTGCGCAGGGCACGTATTTTGAGTAAATACATGTCGAGTCATGGGAAGATGCATTTCAGAATGATTAGGAAGTGGAATTGTTCGGGAAAGCACAGTTCACTTAGTCTGAGAGACCTAAGGCTGCCAGTCTCTGTATGACCTATGATCTGCTCGGTGTGGAGAAGTATTTGTGTTCTCATTTTTGAGATTTGTTCATTTAGCAAAACGTGGTTAATGTTTATTTGATGCGTAATGGGGGCAGAATATTAAACGGTAGAAACCTCAGTTTTTTTCCTCACATTTCCATATCTTTTTTTTTTTAAGATTTTATGTATTTATTTGACAGATCACAAGTAGGCAGAGAGGCAGGCAGAGAGAGAGGAGAAAGCAGGCTCCCTGCTGAGCAGAGAGCCCGAGGCAGGGCTCGATTCCAGGACCCTGGGATCATGACCTGAGCTGAAGGCAGAGGCTTAACCCACTGAGCCACCCAGGCACCCCTCACATTTCCATTTCTTAAAAAAAAAAGCAGTTGGATATCTCTATTTTTTTATTTATTTATATATATATATATATTTTTTAGGTAAAGACAGTATAATAACCACACTGAAAGTTTGGATAACAGAAAAAAAAAAATTCTTCCAGGAACCCCCGACCCAGCTGCAGTGACAGGGATTATTTTTACAAAATCCCCTATTCAGACCATTCGTATACTGGCATGGTTTTCACTTAATGACATTTGTGGTCACTGTATCCTGCTGTTTCTGTTAACTTTGGGTCATACCTGGTATTTTCCCTGTTACAACATAGTTTTCTATCGATCATTCGTAACGAAGAAGGCATAATGTTCCATCGGGTAGATTTACTTTTATTTCCTGAAACATTGTCGTCCCCATTATTGGATATTAATTTTTTTCTAATTTTTCACTGTTATAAATAATGCAATAGAGAAACCCTTATCCGTAGATCTCTTTTTTAAAATATCTTATTTGTTTATTTATTTATTTGAGAGAGAGAGAAAGCATGCATAGGAACAGGGGGGAGGAAGAGAGGGAAAGGGAGAAGCAGACATTCTGCTGAGCAGGGAGCCCAGTGGGACTTGATCCCGGGACCCCAAGGTCATGACCTTAGCCAAAGGCAGATGTTTAACCAACTGAGCCACCCAGGCATCCCATCCATAGATCTTCTATGCAGCCTTATACATCGATCTGTGCCCACGTTATTTCCAACTTCAGTTACCCAGAATGAAATGTGTGGGTCAAAAGACATGAACACTTAAATTTTTTAATGTATAATATCAAAATTTACATCCATTTTAACTGCCTTATCAGGGCAGTCCATATGTAATGTGAACCTGGAAAAGAGACATTGAAACTCACCGTTAAGATTTGCTGCAGGTGTTCCGGGTCTTGGGTTTCTACCTTGCCTCTTTCCTCCTGTTACTCAAATATTCCGAAAGTAACATATTCTACCAGGCTCTTGTCTTGTTTTAAATTGCTGTCATTTTGCACCTGCAGTGCTTCGGTAAATGCCATATTGATTCCAACTAGATCTTCCCTTTCTCCAGCCCAGCTGGAGATTGAAGGGCTTTTAAGCCAGAATAATTAAATCCCTGCTACGGGAATGTGCAAACCTGCACTTTAATTACTCTGCAACCCAGGTATGAATAGCCATTTGCCAGGAGCCTAGTGGTGCTTCTCTCTGGTCCTTTTGTATTCATCGGGGAAGGACAGTGTTTAGTCTGGGGAAGGGAAAAGTTGGGCAAAGCTAGACAGAAGTCCTCGAAGGTAACCTTTCTAGTCTTTCTGACTGTCAGTTTATGGCGCATTGGAGTTGCTGGCCTCCAAATTAAATTTAAAGAATAAAACACCTTGGGGCGCCTGGGTGGCTCGGTGGGTTAAGGCCTCTGCCTTCGGCTCAGGTCATGATCTCGGGGTCCTGGGATTGAGCCCGCCCTGCATTGCATCAGTCTCTCTGCTCAGCAGGGAGCCTGCTTCCCTGTCTCTCTCTCTGCCTGCCTCTCTGCCTGCTTGTGATCTGTCTGTCAAATAAATAAATAAAATCTTTAAAAAAAAAAAGAATAAAACACCTTGTGTTAGCATTTTTTTACAATTCTTTCCGTATCTATCTTTAAACAGTATAGTTTGACTTAGACTTTTTTTTGCATTTTATGTAACAAAAACATGCAGTATGTAGCCTTCTCTGACTTCTTTCACTTGACAGTGCTTCTGAGATTTCCCCATGTTGAGTTGGGCAATTTGGTTCATATAGTACTCTGTTACATGAATATCATGAATATACCATCGGTTATTTATCTCTTCCACTACCAGTAGACATTTGGGTCATTTCCAGATTTCTGCTATTACGAGCAGTGCTGCTATGAATATTCCTATATTTGTCTCCTAGGACGAATTTGTTTCCTAGGGTACTGCTGGATCACACACATGTTTTACTTTGAATGGTGGTTTCTTTAGCTAATTTCAGGGGATAGGAATATTGGAGGTGGGTGGGAAGCATGGGCTCTTGGCATACGTTCTCAAGACTAAAGAGAAATGGGTTGATCGGGAGACTAGCTAATTTG